AAGCATGTTTGTAGTAAATATGGAGCATCATGTCAAGTTTGAGGAAAACCTTCCAGGATCAGGGTTGGGAACCACTGAGCTTACATACGCCCGTGCTGAATGGCATCATGCTGAGTGATGGGGATAAGGATAAAGCCATCCTACCTGCCCAGAGAGGGCAAAGTTAATTATGCTTTTTTGGACTCCTGGCTATGAATGGCACTGGCACTGGGGATCATACTCATCATACTTACGATTACCCAAAAATGGGACAAACACATAGAAGGTTGTGTCTGTGCTTTCAAAAGAGCAAGAGAAATTGTCATTTTAACTGGCACAAGGCTAGTGAGTTCTTGTGTCCCCAATTTGATTCAAATCAAATTTTGCATGAGATATATTTGATTTTATTCTTAATAATGATTTTTTCTTTACATAGCACTTCTCATTTTCATTAAATTTTGAATCTCAGTGCTTTACACAGGAATATAAGTAAACATCTGAGAGATAAAATACCATAGTCTAGATGAATAACAGCACAATTACAAACTGTAAAAACAGCTTGCATTCCTAATATTATCAGAATTACTCTTCAATCGCCTTTATGTAACAAAAAAATCTTTAGCATGATTGGATGTATGGCCAGCTTCTTAGCAGTTACAGTGCCCCTTAATGATATATATGAACCCATATTTTCTCTCCTCCTCATGGGGTAAGAGTTACAAGCCGAACGATGTAGAATAAGAATAAAGTTTAGGTTCGGTCTGTATGTTTGTTTTAGTGGAGAAGAAAGCATAAGAAGAAAGAAGATCCTAACAGTAACTTATGGATCCAACACTGCATGCTTGGATCCCTAACAATAGACCTTAAACATTAAAACATTTAAATTTCTGTTATAATAATGTTATATTTCCCAACTTTAAAAAAAAAAAAATCATATTGCCACAGTATTACTCTGTGAGTAAATAAAAATGAACTGATGAAATATTAGTTCATTAGAAGAACATCCAAAGTCTGGTGCTACTGCCCAACAAACCACTAAAGTGCCAGTTACAAATTTTATACACATGGTTGATTGCTGTATAAGAATAAAGAAAAAGGGAATGGTATATAAATTTGAAAGTATGTGAAAAAATAGAATTTGTAGAGTCTTAAAATCTTTCAAGGGCCTGTAATGAACCTTTGATTTAATGAAGTGTTTCTTAGTATTGAAATATGAAAAAGGTTAATGTTACAGTTGACAAATATTCAGTAAGAGCTTTGTGAAGGCTATTATTGTTACAGATATTTTTATTTAGGCTATCACTACTATCATACATCTATCATGTCACCATGTAACCATCCCCATTCATTTCATATAGTGTTACCAAAAGCTTGAAACCTTTTTAAGGGCTATATGTCCAAAAGTATGCAGAACCCCCCTCTAATTAGTGAATTTAGCTACTTTTAGGTACAACTATTGCTGACCCAGGCAATCATTTGCAAACACACAGACATTGTACAGAAAGCATTGGCAAAAAAAAAGGACACTCTGGAGCAGCTGCATGAGTCAGAAGGTCACCATGCCCAAAACCAAGCTCCTGGCATTGTAACTGCATTCTCTGGAGTGATGAAGCACCATCATTCAATACTGGGATGAGTTGGAATAGCGTTTGTGATTCAGAACTAATCATCCAATGTCGGTTCCAGACCTAGCCTAACCATGTGCTTGCTGCTGAATGCTGTCAAACTCCCCTTGATTTCAAAACAATCCCCACACAGAAGGTCATTTTAGCTTAGTGGTAGTGTTGACTTGCCCAGAATCTCAGCCTTGCACAACTACACACAAAATCAGTCAAATGTTTGGAGAATCGGTCAATATGTTTTTTTTTATTTTTTTTTATTTAGACATTTTGATGTAAAGGCTTTTGCTTAAATGCAAATAAAATTTGTTTGTAAGCATAATACAAATAGTGAACTTGATGCCTGTGTACAAAATTAATTCCAAAAGGAAAAAATAAAGAAATCTTTTACTACTGTTTTATAACAGTGAAAGTGAGGAAAACTCATCTATGAGTAGGAGTGTCCACAATTTTGACTAGTACTGTATACATTCCCTTTGACAGCAAAACATGCTAAAGCCATGATGATACTCCCTACCTGTAAATATTGTATGTGCTCTGAAATAGTTGTTAGAACAAATTGTACTGCACACAGTAGTGGTCTCTGGCATAGGCAACACAGGTGATTGCTTAGGTCAGCAACTAGCCTGGGGCAGCACTGGCACATTGACTTAGGCTAAATGTACCTGTCCACTGTCTGTATGCATGAAACAAATAAAAAATCTAAGTAAATTAGATAAGCATTGATTAAATTCATTTTGGATTTTGCCCCAGGCAGGGCAGGGGTTGTACAACAGCAACAGCCCACGGGAGAATGTATGAATGTACCATCGAGATGGCAGCCCACTATGACTGAACTCTCAGAGCACTAGAAACCCTCCTTAACTTGGGATATGGTTCCTATTGGCAATTGAAGACAGTCCTTAAGCTACGCTTTTGATTTTTAATAAGCTCTATGCCAAAGCTTAGCCAGGGAACAGCAACTGAAAGTAGTCAGACCACTGTACTACTGAGCTTGGCAGGAGTGCTTCAACCTCCAGGAAATGTAACAAGACCTGGCTATTCAAGTTGCCAGTTTCAGTTTCTCCTCAAGTTCAAGAAGAGTAGCCATCAAATTACTTTAATAAAGAGCCATTGGGTTTATCTTAACCCCCCTTATCCTTCTTCAATGTCTCATTGCTCACTGCTGCAAATGTTTGTGTATGGTGGCTTATGATACATCTCTCACTTCCTAATCTGTTTGACCATTGGTTGAAGGATCATGTCTTGCAGGATTCTTGTGTTGTTCTTGTGTCCCATGGCCAGACAGATTATTTGCAATTGCTGTACTGACCAGTGTGTTCATTCTTTATAATAATATACCAAACTTTTAAAATGTCTGATTTTTCTAAATGATTTAAATGATATTTCTATGTGATTGTTTTAGCATCGAGAGGAAAAAAAGCAGCCTTACCATGCTGGCTTAGTGCATTTTGTGAAGTGACCATACGCTCACATTTAGTGTGCACATTTTATAAATAAGGCTATTAGAATTAGAATAGGGTTAGAACTTTTAAGATGAAGCTAAGCTAACATGTACTACCAAAAAAACCTAACCTAATTTTTCATGTTAAAGATCACACTGTTATTAATATTGTACAACACTTAACATTGAGGATGCTTTGAATTAAGTAAAGAAGGTGCTAATATGCCTCTAGAGGTAAACTAAAAAGGAGAGTACCAGAAATGTTGAGCAGTGGATCCATGGGCCACACAGTTTTGTAGCCAAATGGCACAACAATTTAAGATTTCTCATGCACACAAAAACTGCATGAGATGTGGTAAGAGTACTACCATAAACTACATACAGTATATGTTCACCTAAAGTAAGGTGAACTTTTTCAGACTTAAACTTAAAAAAAGACATTGCTGGATATCTGGTTACAGAATTTGGTAATTCTGTGTATGCTCACCATCACCATCACAATCACCATCTTCTAAACCATCCTGACTTTTCCTGCTGCTGAAAAGCTTCCTCTTAGCATGATGCTCCAACTTAATAATGGGTATAATGTTGTGGATATACCAGCTTGACAAATTTTCCTGCTTAAAACAAACAAACAACAACAAAAACCCAAAAGAAACTTCAATACCAACAACAACATCAACAAAAATATCAACAAAAACAACATCGTTTGGAGGCCTGGCTAATAGTTTTCAAGGGTGTTTTTTTTGTTTCAGTTTCTTTACAATGTCGACAGCATAAAATACCTTATAAAGCGTTTTTATTTTTCATAATCTATTTGCGTATCTCTATAAATGTACCCTGATTTGTATGAAATCTCTTTTTAGGGCTATCTGAATCTTGCTTATGAAATTATCTTCATATTGTAAGACAGAGAGGTGTATTTACCCCCACATATAAAAGAGATAATCAAATATTTTTTTTTCCACAAAGGTAGAATCTATCAACAAACTTTCACTTCAATGTTATACTTCCTCATGTGTTAAGCATGGCAGCATGAACAGTCTCTCAGACTGATACAGAAATGGGTGAGTGCTAACAATATAGCTAACAATGGGCAGTACATACTTCAGAAGTATACAGTAGCCATGTTTTATACCTATTTACTGAAACACCTCCACACTGATTAGGCCATGCTTCACCATATGTAGGTTAATGACAGAAAACACAGGGCAAATAAATACACATAATAGTATAAATAATACAAATAAAAATGATAATAAAAATAAAAAACAGAAGCTTAAGCACTTTTGCCTAATATTTGCCTTTTCAGCTCTAATCTTAACTGCTTGAGTATTCAAAGCAGAAATTAAAAAATTACAGTATGTCTTGACTTTCCCTATTCTTCATATCTGACATAGGCATCCGGTTTTGGTGGGTGTAACACTTCTTTAATCTGGCTTATAATTTAAATTCTTAGTGAATTGAGGAAATTTTCTCAAAGTTGTTAGATATGTTATAGTGCTATAGGCTTTAACAATTATAAAAAAAATGAAATATTCTAAATTGTACTTCAAATGTATTATCTGAAATATATCGTTTTGGGGGCAGTCTCCAGTTTTAAGGCACTTCAGCGCAGTTTTGGAGATGCTATCAAAATAGTTGTAGCATTGCTTAATACCTTTTCAGTTAGTTAGCCTCCATGCTGCATTTTGACAGTTAAGATTAAAATATTGTTGCATCTGTCACACTGGAATATTTTAAGCAATAGGCCAAGGTCAATATTGGTGTAGTTTAATTGTTATAAGGGAAAGGTAGGGGCTTGTTTAACATTAATCACTCATTTAGACTATGCCTGGTTTCTCTGTGATGCCTTATTAACTAAGATTAACTAAGCTTAAAGACAGAGAAGAACACTGTGTTAAATTAAAGTCCTGTGTTAATGCCTTGCAGATTCAGCTGCACACAACGATAATAACATAATAGTGTAATACAGTCTGTCACAAGAAGAATGTATTCATGTTTGGCTCAGGTCTGGTGCTGGCAGATGTGAAGTGTTGACAGACTCATAGACTCATTGGGTTTGCTGTTGGAGACGCTATTCTTCTGATCTCTGACTCAGCTGCCTCTCATACAGGCTGAGCACATGATGCACAAACTGGTACTGCTCCGCTGTCTGAATCATGCCCCCCCTAAATACACAACAACAGGATTACATACTACTGTTGATAAGTGTGCATGTGTATAGTTTATGTTGTCATCATCGAAAACATGAGAGAAATCTAGACTTCAAGTGAGACTGAATAATTTTAACATGTGCTATGCTCACTGGCTCCACCAAAATCCCACTCATACTCTTACTTCTTTTAGTAAGATTGTTGATTGTTGTGTTCCCTGGGTTCTTGTTTCACTAAAGTATAAATATGACATGATACACAGGTCAAATACCTTTGGTCATCCATCAGCATGAGGAAGATCACAACATGCACAAATGAAACTAAGATTTTGACCTTCATAAATCAGAAAACTGAAAATGCCCATCTCCACTTTTAATATGATGTTTCAAACAACTGAAACTGTGATGAACTTGCCTGTATAAGGATACAAGTGTATGTTGCCCCTACACGCAGTGAGGAGGAGAGGCAAAAATGTCTCTAAGGATCACATTTGGACAACTAAAGGAATTGGCTGCTTCCTAAGGTCACCAGTTAGCAACACCCAGTTATACAAACTCAATTCCAAAAATGTTGGGACATAAGGCAAAAAAAAAAAAAGCCGTGCCCTTTATGTGTAAATAGTCAAAAGTCAGCAAATAGTCCAACTGTTTAAGAACAGTTTTTCTTAATGAGCATTTACAAGGATTTAGGGTATGTAATTTTTTACAGTGCAGAGATTTTAAAAATAAAAAGCAAGGCCAAAAACCTCAATTAAATTCTCATCAGCCCTCAGATAGCACTGCATTAAAAACCGGCATACTTCTGTAATAGAGATCACCACATGGGCTTGGGAATACTTTGACAAACCATTTTCTGGGCCACAAAAGTATAGAAGAAGGACCACTTAGATAACAAGCATGAAGTTCAAAAGTTAGGGTCTGTTGTGGTATGGGGGCTGAATGAGTAACTTGCACATCTGTGCACATCTTGCAAATAACACTAAAAGATGTTTACACATTATGGAGCAACATATGCTACCCTTTAGACACCATCTTTTTCAGGGATGCTCATGCTTATTTCAATATGACCATGCCAAGAAACATTCTGCATGTGTTACAACAGCATGGCTGCATAATCAGAGACGCATATGGCTCATTATGAGGACAATCAAGGCCCTGTATGCTTGTGTAAATGAAGACCTGTATATCTGAAAGTGGCAAACACTTTCTGTGCATTTAGTCCCCAAATGACTAGTAAGTGCTGTTAAAAGGTGATGTAGTAAACATGCTCCATTCTCAACTTTTTTTGGAGTGTGCTGCAGGCATAATTGGAATGAGCAATATTCACCCAAAAAAAGTTCTTATTGTTTTCATTTTAGTAGAGTTTAAACAGAATTTACTAATCACTGCTTCCTATTTTTATTGACATTTCATGTACTATCCCAACCTGTTTGGACCTGGGTTTGTGCCATCTCTATGCACATCTTTTTATGTGCCTGGATTTCAGAAAACATCACTGGAACTTTAATCATGTTATATCATCAGATGATGCAAATATACAGCTTTGCAGCAACAAACATCAGAGGCATAAAAAGGACATGCAGTGAAGAAGCTGATCCCCCGCTGTAAAGCATGGGGTGGGTGTATTATAATGTGGAGCTGTTTTTTCTCCAAAGATCCTGGGAATCCACACTTGTCCAATAGTGCTGCTATACTCATAACAAAATGCCATGGCATAATTGTACATGATTCATTGTGCTACATAGCTAGTTGCCTCTCACCTTTGATGTAGCACTTTACTTAATTCATTTTTTTTGTTTAAGGCATTTTTTTGTTTAAGATTTTAAAATGCTAGTTTTGCCACAAACAAGCAATTAATATTATTTATATTGCAGCTTTGGCTAAAGAAAGTACTGGAGATGTGCTGGTGTGTTTAATTTGTTCATTCAGACCACATAGTGTGAGCTTAAAAAACTTTAAAAATCAGCCATAGGCCAATTTGGCTTTACAGAAATCAGAATCAGCTATAAAAATTCCCGATCAGTACATTCCTAATTCTAATAAAATATGTTTCATAATGTGTGGTTTTTATTACATTATTTTACCCCCCTGAAAAGTTAGATTTCTCTCAAATTTTCAGCAAAAGATGAAGCTGATAAACATGGATGTTTTTTCTTATGTGTCAATTATTCCGAGAGCCACTGTCTATATGTGTATATGTTAGAGATGCATCAATACCGATACTAGTATCGGCCCGATACCGTGCTCGTTTTCTCATACTTGTCCTCATAAAAAAAAGAACCAATACCAACATCTGATACCACCTGATACCATGTGATGTAAGCTTTGTGTATGCTGCCATACTAATGAACAAAAACTAAATCTAACAATGAATGAAGGTCTACTCGCACAGCAAATTATTGCTGATGCTGTGGCAGTCAGACACCAAGTGGAACTGCGAAGTATAAACTTTGATATAGTGATTTTTTTAAAATTGTCTTTGTAAAACAGGCTGTAGAGAGACCATATTGTCCTACGATTTACATCACTGTCTGGTTTTAGTTTTAGTGCACAGTGTGGCACAAGTTAGCAAGTTAGCAGCTCAGCGTTTGTGCTCAGTACTTGGATGCACATTATGTTATTTTGAATGAAACAGGTTTTTAGGAACTTGTTCATCACAAAGATGTCTGTGAAGAGCTGTCTGATTCACTTTAGCACATCAATCAGACAGAACGTTTTTGTACAGTGTGAGCATATAAATTGTAGGCTTTGTTCGTACACGGCAGTCTATTCAAGGGTGCAGTGTAGGTCGCTAAAGAACAGGATTTCACACAGTGTATGTCTGGCTTGAAAGAATATTTAACTACACCTTTACCAGCCAAGCAGCCAAAAAGACTCCATACAAGACGTAAAACTCGACAATGACAGAACTCGCATGTGATTCCTACTGTTGCCGTGCCATGGAGGCTGTTGTTGAAAGAGACAGAAGAGCTAGCTTTTTTCTGACATTGAACAAAACCTGCTTTTCTCATTGCAGCTCAACTTGATCTAAGGTGATGATGTTAGCATAGCTTGCTAACTATGATTTAACTGTTAAGGTACATTTCACTCATTTACATTAACAACTACATAATTCTGGTTACTCATCATGGTATTGGAATTGGTATCAGCGAGTACAAAACGTAATCATGCTTGTACCGAGGCTGAAAAAAAAATTGGTAATAATGCATCCCTAGTATTGCACAGTATTTACCACACTTTAAACACCATTTTCTGGATTACAAACCATACATTTTTCTGAATTTTTATTTCATCAGTATTATCAGTATAAATAACATTTTCAAAGACATGACATTTAAAAAAAATGTCTGGTTTGGTTGCATAATTATTTAAATCCCATAGATTAATATTTTGCAGAACCACTTTTGCTAAAATTTCATGGATGTACCAGCTTTGCACACTGCTCGTGAGTGATTTTTCCCATTTGTTTTGACTTGCAGCAGATTCTTTAGGTTGTTTGGATGATGCTTGTGGACTGCAATTTACAAATAATACCAGGGCTTGGACTTTCTTCAACATTAACAAGATCCCCTGTCTTTCTTGATCCCATAAAAACAATGCGGTACTTTTGATATTGTAGACTTGTATACCTTTGCTACACTTTCAGCCACTGAAGTCGTTCAAAGTGATTGTGAGTCTATCTGTGGCTTCCCTCATAAGTCTATTACATACTCATATGTTAAGTTTTGAAGGTTGTCTGGGTGTGAGCTTTCATTTCTTAATTATTGAGACTGGAAGCATATTATGTTGAATCTGTTCTTATTTTAAGCTTTTGTATGACTGTAACTGTAGTGTTTTGTCCTCATTCTTGCACTGCACCTTTCCTTCAGGTTCACATGGTTCACAGGTAAAAAATATGTCCTTAGAACTTTCAGAGCACTGGGATTTGAATACTTATGCAACCAGTATTTTTTTTAAATTTTTTTTCCAAAAAACCTGTAAAAAAAACACATAACCTATTGGTATGGTTAGAACATGACAACATGAGTTTTAACTTGTGCTCATAATTATAATTTGTAATCCAGAAAATATTGAATGCTTTTACAATACACATATACACACACGTATATATACAGTCTGTGGCGGCACATAACAAAAACACAAGTGGATGAGTGAGAAATCCGACCGGCTCTCTCTGCATTAAAGCCAGGTTAGGTCAGGAGTCACAACACGCATGTTAATAAGAGACATTTTGTCCTTTCAACAAAGTCAAACCACTTTGGAAGCCGCAACATTTAAATGTCCAGTATGTGTTAATGTCGTAGTATGGGCCAAAAATATAAACGAGAGCGCAGATTTACTTTGCTCTACTTTAAGCTTCAGCTATAGCCGCTTTCCTTCCATCTCCACCAGAAAACCTTTCTTCAAAACTAGAAGAGTTTCTTGTAAAATGTCTCAGCTGTTTTACAAGGCTGAAGTCGCTTCTCATTCGCTTCTCGTTCTAATTTTCCCGTTTCACCTTAAATTCTGCCTTAGGCGCCGAATGTAACTGCTGCACCATTTAAGGTGGAACGGGAAAATTCGAAAGAGAAGCGAGTTCATCTTCGCAACTTTTTTTTAACTCTCGTTGCAGATTTAACCAACCGCGCTGCTTATAAATGCGAATAAGTCCTCCAAATGCAAATGTTCGTCTTAATCTCTGTTTTTTCGTTCGCTACTGGCGAGGCCAGACCTCGGTGCTATGTGACCTGCTGTCTGCTGTCTGTTCTCAGTCGTTGAGAACCAGGGCTTTCGCGCTATGCTGCACACTTTGGAGCCGAGATTCAGCGTCCAGTTTCGAAAATACCCCCCCCACACACCTTCTAGTTCGCTTGCCACATCACTTCCATTTGATTTATTAATAAAAGATATTTTAGATATTTAAAGCAAAGTATTTGTAATGATCCATAATGCATTTACATTATGGATCATTACAAATACTTTGCTTTAAAACTACCAAGTCCTCAGACAGTAGGACAGTAATCGAATCGAATCGTG